CGGTGATCAACAACTTTCGTAAAATAGTTTTTGGAAAACAAATTAAACATTCAAAAAATTTGCAATCAGCAAAAGAGAAATATTAACCAATGTTGGATGGAAATTGGAAATTTTTTATTTAAGTTACCCATACAGTTTTTTATGTGTGGCAAATTTATTTCAAACTCTGCATTGAATTTCTTTATAAAGTATCACACCAAAATCCAAAGATCAATTATTTATAAATCAGAGCTGTGTGATGAGGAAAATGGCCTCATTTACTGTTAAAGAGGCCATTAAGAAATGAATATGTAAAAAAAAGAAAATTCTGCCCAGTGGATCATCATGAAGAGTTTTTCTTTCGCCTTTTCTGTAGTGGAATACTGTTTCATGTAAATATTTTGTAGCCTTATTAAAGTGGATAATGAAGAATATTTTCCTCTTAAATTACTGCATTTCAAAGTTTTTAGCAGAACAAAATTTTAATTAAAATATATTGACAAATCAGCTTGCAGTACTAGAGTGAATCCAGTTGCATAGGTGGGTATGTTTACGCAGTGTATAAACAGGATTTTTATTCTTGTCTGTTTTTCACTGAGTTATTCCAATGCTTGTTCCCCATCCTGCGTCCCCAGAATGCTACCACAAAAATCCCCATATTAGAGACAAGAATCTGGGGGTCAGAAGGCCAGGAGAAGGGCATTTTTTGCCAATTCTTTTTTAGGGTTTGAAAGGGTCAACCAGGCAGGGACAATGAATGGAATAGGGGCTTATGGGGATTAGGGCGCCAGCTTGTGGAAGGCACCATCATCACCCGTATGCGGCGTACCAGAGATCGACCAAGTGGGAAACCAGCCAAGAAGGACTTGAACCTTTTCAAGCCTTTGCGGCGCGGCGCGGCCGGCGCCACAGTTTTGGCAAGACCCAGGCTTACCAATGGTACTTCAGTAAATATCTGTGGTAAAAATGGGCAATGGGCTGCCTCAAAAATATCCCAGAGCCCAAAAATCCTGTTTTTTTTATTTGTTGGAATTCTGATGCTGACAAACCAAAAATCGGGTCATTCAGACCATGGGGTCTGAATGACCCAATTGTCTGGGTTTTTCTTTTCCTGCAGAAAAAAAAACGGAACTACGAAATCCCGGGAGTCTGATACTCCCATTCAAATATTGAAAATGCACATCCATTTTCCCCGGTGTCTTTAACTGGGCACTTCAGGTTCCTGTGTTTAGCAGGAGGCAATACCACTTCCCCATTCTTTTTTTTTTACGGAAAAAGTTGTAAAAGTTCTCACATACACTTTCTCAACTTCATTATGTACCCTGTTTTCATTCCTTCCAAATTGCTTGTTTTGGGACCAGTGGGATTTTGAAAACCAAGAACATAGGAAATAGCCAAGAACATTTAGGGTAAAAATTGGCAATCTGCTCCTTGAAACTCCCATGAAATTGATACCAGTTCACCCTGGTGTATGACATATCCAGTTTCTCAGTAACAAATCTCAAATTGGACAGTGCATATTCCATATATTCTTACATACCCAAGCATTCAAAAAAATATTTGAGGGACAGCACTGGTCAATAAATGCATGAGAAATGCTTTGAAAACTGCTAGTCTCAAATATGAAGTTGACCATAACAGTCAATTGAAGCAGTCTATATGCAAGATGGGCCAAAAAAATTATGTACCAGGTTTAACAGACAGATTTCACTGTGAACCAAATATGTTTTTTTCTACATGGGTTTTGAGTCATTTTGGTTTTTTTCTATAAAAAAGAAGCCACAAGAAATGCTTAAAATTGACTGGTTTCATGCTTTGTGACATCCAAAGATGACTATATCTGATTTTTCACATCTTTTGTGGATAAAAAAAGCAGAGCTATTCACTGGATTTTTATACAGTAGTAAGTAAATACCACAATTCCAAGCATTTGAAAATCATGTTCCTGTGTGAGTTCTATGATGCACTGTCAGATTTGTCACATTATCACTGTGCCTCCATGATGAAATCTGGTAGGAGAAAAAAATCTTGCAAGGCCAAAAACCCTGTAAGCCTAAAAATCTTGCAGGGTAGAAAAATACCATAGGTACAAAAATCCCAAGTTTTACAAAATTGTAACATTGTCTCTGGGTTTTCCTTCCAAACTGTCTAGAAGGAATAAAAATCTGGTGGATCACAAAATTGTGAAAGTGCCAGGGGTTGGGAGGTTTAGGAATTATTGTACCTTTCTCAATAGAGCCTCAACTTTACTTCCTCAAGAGTAAGGTGATGTATTTTTCCATTTGGAGCCTTTGTCCCTGCATTTGTACAGATTATAAACTGCTGTGCACATCCCCAAAGATTTTTAATCCCTGAGGGCAATTGTCTGGTCCTTTCTCAATCTCAGGCATACAGCATAATCATTTACTGTTAGTCTGTCAAAACCATTCTGTGATCCTGAACCTTAGCTTATACTGTACACGCCTTCTACATTGGACAATACATAAAAAAATGTCAGAGAATTCACATTCTGTCCAACAGAACAATTCAATTACAAACTGAGATCAAAATTCTTGAATGCCTTACAATGGGAAATCTCTTCAATTTCACTGGTAGTATCTGTGTTGCATCAATACCGCCATCTATCCATCCATCAAGCAGCATTCCACTTGCACTTTCCCTCTCATTTCTACATTTGCTCATTCATTGCATTATATTCACTTATGAATTTCTATAAAGCCTGTTCTTGTCTGATTAATGAGCTTAATATTAGTGCTTGTGCTTAGAAACACTTTCCAGGGTTGCTGGAACAGCATGTTAGCAGTGGAAGCACAGTACTGCACAGCATGTTAAACCTTACGAGAACTGGTGTAGCATGATGTCCTGTGACACCCTTCACTGCACTAAACTCAAACCCTGAAGTCTATCACTAGTGTGTGTAAAGGAGAGAGTGATGAGGATAGGGAGTGAGGGGATGGGGGGTGCAGTGGTGTGGAGTGTTGCTGGCGTGCGTTCCTGCTCCAGCGAGAAACTACACCACCTTCCTCTCAGATATGAGTTACCGGAGGCTTCGTATAGCGAGATAGCGAGAGATAAGAACGAGAAGGTTATGCGCAAACCCGCGCGCGCGTCCGCCGATCATTGGCTTCCGTTGGCGACGAAGTTGGAGCTTATTACCTTTAGCCATCCAGGCGGAAGCCTCACTATTGTCCCAGCATGCCAGTGGTCATTTTTCACTCCTGCTGCCCTCTGTCACTGAACTACATAAGCTCCAAGCATTTAACCGTACAATTCGATTCTTCGTGGAAATTTTCAAGTCCTTTCACAATTTCAACTAGTTTCAGGTCATCAGATATGTTCAAACCCATGGTCATCATCATCCACGGTCGGCTCCTCAGAAGAGTTTCCGCAAGAACTCTTATACAAGTTCTAAAACGCACGAGGGTCTCCACTTTGAATTCCGCCAGTGTTTTAGATTGGTTCTCCATTTCATGTCTTAAATATTTCTTTCATCGTTTACTTGAAAACTGATCGCAGAAAAACCTGGTCAAATACACTACGTATTTACCTAACCATGCAAACTGGAATAATAATGACTCAAATGAACGCGACAAAACTGTTCGTTTGTCATGGATATTTGTTACTGACGTATATGTATAGCAGCAGTTTACAAAAGGTTGTCTAAACCTTAAGAAAGGCAAAAATGTCCATGCTTACAAAAACTCAAAATAAATATTCAACCCTGATTCTGTGTGTGGGCAACTGCTGTTGAGACTGCATAAAAAGCATTTCAATAATTCCTCGTCTGCAGCAGGAATGACGAGTTCTGCAGTTCGAGGATCCTCATCACATAGCAATGATGGGGAAGGCATATGCAGACTGCAGATACAGGGCATTGTGACTGTTCGTTTTCGTGTGGAAAGCAGAGAAACCTGCTTTTCACCAGAAACGTCTCATCTATATACAGACCAGTCGCACAATATTGTAACAAACCAAATGGAAGGAAAATTGGGAATTTTTTTTATTAAATATAAAACTATAAAGGATGATATAAAACACAGAAAATCTTCTGAGGAGCCGAACGTGGATGATGTGGCGGTGGAAATCATGGGTTTGAACATATCTGATGATGTGAAGCTAGTTGAAATTGTAAAGATCTGAAAATTCCTGCAAAGAATCAAGTTGTATGGTTAAATGTTTAGAGCTTTTTTAGTTCGGTGATAGAGGGCAGCAGGAGTAACAAATGGCTGCGCGCATGGGAAACGATAGTGAGGTTTCCGCCTGGATCGTTAAGGATAAGCTTGCGAAGTTTTCTTCGAACACATGATACGCGCGTGCTGATTAAAGTGATCAAATTATGAACGCGGTAAAGTACACATCGGATGTGGAAATGGCGAAGTTCTGCGGAATTTCTTCAGTGCCGATTTTCAACCGGAAGTAGAGAAAAATTTCCATCCCTCGAAGTACGTGGAACGAGTGCCACAGAAGTAAATGTGGTCTCGTGGAAATTTTCTTCATGTGAACTTCTCGAAATTTGAAGGCTTGGAGTTTATGTGAGGTTATGCTCATGTTACACCGATGCGCATGATGCTTTATCTCCAATCTGATGGTCATTGTAGCATGTGCGGCGTCGAACGCATACGAGATATGCGGTTCGACAGAAAATATATCCTTCTAATGCGCTATTCCAGCGATTGAAAAGTTTAATCGATATTTGGCGAGCATCTTTGATTTGTGGTGAGTTTGGAAGTTTGATTCAAGTTTTGAATTTGTTGACTGAACTTTCGAAACTGTATGTTCAATCGATTAAATTAACATTTATCTGAAATTAACGTCGTGTGAGAGTTAGTGTCCTCTCTTGGGAATCTGGATCTAGAGCTGTGGGATAAGGGTATTTTGTTGTGATCGTGTGGGCATAATCTGATTTTCAGTCATTTTCGTAAAATTTTTCGGACGAGTGCTATACTGAGTTGAGTCTTTCGAGGAAATATAGAAGGATGAACATCGGTCGAACAAGCGAGTGTAGGTTGTATTAGATATGTTACGGTTTTTTTCCTGTGCAAGATCCTGTAGCTAATAAAATGAATTATTTCTTCCCGAATGACAATGCAGATTGCGCTAAGATGTCTGGATGGTAGACGAGAGAACGAGATCCGGGGCGGCGACTCGGAAGCCGCCGAAGAAACCCGAGAAACCTCGGAAGAAATCGACGAAAATTGAAACCAAACCAAAACCGAAGAAGACAGTTGCCGCGAAAACACGTCCTAAATCAAATCCGAAATCGAAAAGCAATGAAGGGAAGGCGAAGAAGCCAAAAGCCTCGGCGTCCCCGAAAAAACGAGCACCTGTGAAACCCAAGCCTGCAAAATCCCTCCCAAAGAAAGTGGATGTCGAGCCCCAAGTGAAGAAGCGTCCTGCGTCTAAACCGAGAACCCCTAAACCTCCTGCCAAAAAACCGAAAAGTCCTCCAAAACCAGTGAAACAAAAGCCGGCGAAGCCCCCTCCGCAGAAGGCCAAGAAAAGTACTCCAAAAAAATCTTCTGGTGAGTGTCTGGAACAATGTCTGTGCTTCGATTCGATCCATTTCATTTTGCGATTTTTTTCCGGGTCATCCTGGTTTTCCTTGCCTGAACGAAACTTGCGTCTAAATGTCGCAGTGTGTACGATAAGATAGGGTTGCAAAACATATCCGATGTTGACTTGTCCAGTGAGCCGCATTAAATTATTGGATTTCTTCTCACGGGCCGAAGCGTTGGTCAAGTTCAAACTCGATCACATTCCGTGGTGCGAAATAAAAGGGGTAGGTTGTACTGCACTGCATTTTCAATGATTTTATCCGAATGGAACGTGTTAGGTATTGCTGCTGATGAGGTACAGTGATCCCATCTTAATTTAATTTGACGATGCCACTTCAACGGGTTTACTTTTGCTACTTTCGCGCTGTCACATGCCACGAAACTCGCTTCTCTGATCTTCCTGCGGGGCTTCGTAGTATGAACCAGTGTTCCCAACCCGTGGTCCACAGACCAGTGCTGGTCCGCAGAAGTTTTTTGCCGGTCCGTGGGAAATTTTGTGCAGAACAATTGACTGATCAAAAGTCGCAATGAAATCTTTCATCCGTAACTGCAATTTTGGGGAGACAATGGAAGTTGAAATTATATGGTGAAACATTTATCATATTAGATTTATCATGAAGTATAAAAATTAGAGTTTTCTACTGTTCCAAAAAAATACGGGCCATATTTACTCAAGTACGATGCGCATAAGCAAAGAGTAGGATGTGCGTCATAGGCAAGCACAAATTTTTTACATTTTTATAAAATTTTAAGGTGCATGTCATTTTTGATGTTTTAAGGATATTTCTGTACCCATTTCAAAACAATTGTATTGAAGATAACTGATGTATAAGAAATCCAAATCTAGGCTTGTACTTGGTGCTGAAATAATTGGCTATTTAATGCTTTCTGCATTAAATTCTCCATCGCACTGAGGATTTACAAATTATTAGGAATGATCTCTTTTAAATTGCGACTCTGTGACTAAAAAGGGATGCGTGCCTTAATGCAGGTGTGAACTTTTGTGTCGTATTTCAGATTTATAAGTTTGCTTTCGCGTCGTATTGAAGGACGCGTGGTTCTGTAGTAAATAAGATATTTTGTAAAGGTTTGTGCAGTGTATTTTTATTTGTTCTATTGATAAGCCGCCGCAAGCTTCACCCAAAAAATATAGGCCTCTTATCAAGGTTTGACTGTACTGTACTGTACAATAACAATTTCTGAGAGCCTTGGACAGTTGCCCTTGCTTGCCCTGTCTTTCTGGTGACAGGTATCTGTGAATCTAATGCCGCTTGTCCGTGAAATTGTTATTATACGTAAATATTTCTACAGTAGTTCCAGATGATACCCATCTTTGCGCAGAGAGTTTGATGCTGACATTTTAAAGCTTATTGCAGTAGTCTTTTTCAGTGGTTTGATGCAACAAGCTCTGCAGATTTTTTTTTGGGATGGATTTATTCTCTTTGCAAAGTTATTGAATAAAAATATAAATTACTTGTGAAAGTAGAGAAGAAAGATTTCAACTGTTTTCCAAGATAATGTGATTTTACATACGAAATGTTGGAGCTTTTTTTGTGTTCTGGTTCTGCTGAGAGTGTGGTCATGGCACAATTCCTATTTTCTACACATTTCATTCCACCAAAATCATCTTGGGAGTGAAGTGTACAAATTATATTGGATAGAGTATGCCTATTGTCACCAAAATTTTAATTGTAGCTTCTTTGTTTTTATTTAGACCCTGCAGAAAATCTTGAATCATGTTGGTGGGTTACTGTGGACAAAATCAATGCTCAAGCTTGTGATTCAGCCCTCGAATGTTGCCTTGATTTCAAAACCTCATTTTCAGGTGGCACGAGGAAGCCAAACCGGCGAATGGCAAGTTTGAACGCCCGTATGATGGTCAATTGCTTGTTGAGAAGTTACGAGAATGATCATACGAGTGCGGACAAACCGTCTTCAGCAAGCGTAACCGTTGAAAAAAGATCTCAGGCAAAAGTTGTCAAGTTGAAGCCAGTGCCGAAGAAGCCGAAACCGAAAGCGGTCAAAGCTGCTGTCAAGAAAGACCCTAACGCAAGTCGAATCGTGAAATTAAACGGAGCACAGGATTTATCATGGTTTCCATTTTATAGGTGACACCTGTGGAGCATGTAACGAAGCGGTTGGCAAGTTTGAACGCCTCTGCGATCATGAGTGCTTCCTATTCAGCAGAGCCGCCCAAGAAGAAGTTTCCGCTTCCTAAAAAGGTATCCCTTTTTACGATTTTATGATAATGGTCAGTTACCGTAACACCCCGCTAAAGAATTTATGACCGTATTGTAGTGCTACTGTAATGCTATACAGTTGTGTCCCAAGATGTGGGGGGTAATTGGTTCTTTGGACCTTATCCGAATGTCAGATCGCGTTTCTCCGCTTCTTCAAAATTAGTCAATAAGTTCCCCAAAAAGTTGAATAACGTTTTCTCCCAACTGGAAGGGGCAGAAAATTACTGTTCAGAAGAAAACCATGTAGAATCTGATATTTTTGCATCAGAAGAAGCTAAGAACAAGAACATGTCTACCTATACTGTGCGTGAAACAAGGCACAAAATTCTCCTGTTTTCGATTATGAATAAGAGTAAATTTGTAATGACATGTATTTCTAATTTTTGTGGATATGTGAATATAAATAGCTCAATTTGTTGAGATATCAAAATTTAGAAAAATTAAATCGACACTTTTACAATATTTATAAAGACATCGAACAATGTATCTACTCTCGAGATATTCTCCGGATTTTTTCTTTCCAAGTATGTATACGGTAGGCCGAATCGTCCGTATGTGGGGATCCCATTGTATTTTGAAGCTTATACCGTACGGGGATTTTCAGGTAATTTTAGCGTGAAAGATAATTACAGTTCTTGATATTAATTATATTATTGCTTTCTTCAGTACCTTCCCGTTTAGGTTGTATGACTGCGTATCTCCTTTATCAGTTACTCACCGGACAGGTCTGTGCTTTTTGTTTCACTTGTGGTGTGTGTGCGGAAATATTTTCCAGCCGAAGTCACCGGAGCGGCAAGAAGTAAATGAAGCAGAAAGCGTTGAAGCAACAAAGCGAAGGAAGCCAGAAGCATCGAATGTTTCCCAGAAAAAGAAGCCAGCTAAAAAGACAGAAGCGTCTGGGAATTCATCAGAATCCCCGTTTCCTGTTTCTGGGTTATATTTCAATGGGAAACCTTGTGTTGCCGCAGCACAGCGCACAGAAACGGTTGCAGCTGGTAGTTTGGATGGCTTGGGGTCCAAGTACATGCAATCCAGGATCCAGGCGATTCGGTCAGTTTTATATGAAGCGTCATAGTATGTTTCCCAGTCATAGAAAGCGAAACTCTTGAGATTTCTGCTTCGTATTTCTCGACGACTTCATTTCTTTAGTCATGAACCAATGAGGTTGAGATTCCCACTGGAGGGAATGCCAGCTTCCAATATTGGGGAAGATTTTTTATTGATTGATAGAATTTGGGAAATCCATTTGCTTGATACAGTATTTTAGTTCAAAAATGTTTTTGGATTTCATCCTGGAGAAATACTCCGGTATATCATCTTCATTCATTCTCCCTCCTTGACACTTTTCTGCATGATGAATTGCATTGAAAACCATTTTAAACTAATTAAAAAAATGTCTTGATATTTCGAAATGTTCATCTTTGCCAAATAATACAATTAGCATGAACCTTTTTTACTGCCTTTGCCTTCATGGAAATAACCTCAATTTTTACTGCTGTGAGCATAATTCGAAATTCATACTTCAGCTAATCGTCTGCCTACTTTTGAACTTGACATACTTACAACTTACAAGCCATGATTCCAAGTGGAGAAAACATGCATAGCTCAGGTTTTCCACGCAATATATTTAATTTTCGCGAAGTCTTCGGCTAATTGGAATGTTCTACATGATAACATAATCGGGCTTGATCTCGTCTGTTTCAAGCATGTTCAATTGGAACGATCAGTCGCTTGAAAGATTATTCAGTTTGTGCCTGATTAGACTTTACAAAGACGGTCTCCGAGTTTGGGTCTTTTTTGTTATGCTCTAACGATGAAAGCGTTGTGCTCACAGATATGTACAGTAATAAAATACAATTCAAGGGTATCAGTTGAACTCCTAGTCGTCATATAATGGAATTGAAGGACATTTGCTTATGGTTGACCAGATTTTCTCCTGCGGTCTCCGCGAAGCCGAAACCTAACGCCATTTGAATATTTCTTCAGGTATTCTTCGAGCTGCAGTATGAGTGCAGGTGCTTTACCAGATGGTGTAGTGAGGCAGTCGACGGTGGTAGAAGAGCAAACCCTTGTTGGACCACATGTGATGCCGGGCTGTGCCTCACCACCGACTGTCTTCCAGCCCAATTTAACCCAGGTTTGTTTCTATCTTCTACCGATTGCATTAAAGTGATCCGCGAAGGTGTCTGTGTTCATTGGAGTTGAGGTCTTTTGGCTGAATTTTGAATGCATGTACCATCTTACCTTGCGATCATGTATTTATTCTCGTCTCGTGGCCAAGTCTGAGATTTTTTCCTCCGAAAATGAGTGTGCGCGGGTTGTCCCAGTTGGCGTGGCGTCTTATATTACTAGAGTAGGTGTGATTGTAAAAAAAAAATTCGCGACAAACCTCATGATGTTCAAAGGAAAATGTTCAAATTTACTGCATGATGAGTGAAAACTTGAAGTTACAGCCAGAGCTTTCCACCCATGTCACAAGGTGCTAAAATGTGTCAGGCCAGGTAGCAAATTGAAATCTGTTTCCTTCATCCAAATCTTTTCTGCATTTTAGATGATGGTTAAAACAAAACAAAATTAATTGTTAGCTGGTCTGACAAATTTACAGCAACTTCTGACATGGGCGGACAACCCTGTCCAAAACTGGGAAGTTTCTACTATTCTGCAGTAAATTGAAACATTTTGTAAAAATCTTGAAAAATCCCTGACTTTTACAACATCATGGGTTATTTCAAGTTTTTTTCTCTTTGCAGTCACTCCTACTCTAGAAATATCAGAGACCGCGTCCAACTGGGACAATCCTCGTGAATGTTTCTCTAGAAGGACATTTTGAGTCTTGGTTGAATTGGTTAGACTTCTTTAAAGTCGAAAGTGGGTTCTTGAAAATAACTGTTGTCTGTCGAGGAATGTTGAATTCACGCAAAGCAATTCTGACGTCCGAATACATTGAAGAGTGAAATACTGTATGTTGAGTACATCATTCATGTTGGTCTCGGATCCTAGGCTGTAAGACTGGGGTTGGTTCCACAAATCTGTTTCCGAATCCAGTGAAACTTGCATTATAATTGCGTTGGATTGACATGGACCCTTTCAATTTTGACATTCTCAATTTCTAAATTACAGCTACCCATGGGAGGACAGGTGGTACATTGGGACAGACACATGGAGCACAAGTGCCGCATGGTGGCACAAGATGGGTACACTCCTTTGGGCGCCATGATGGGCATGGCTCATGGGATCCCAAGTTCCTGCAAACACCCCCTGCTTCTACCGAAGGATTCTGCCCATTTCACTGCAGGTTCGTCTCACGATCATTCTTTTCTCGAGAAGCTGAATTTTTCAAATGAGACTGGCTTCAGGGTCTTGAGCTGGCTAATTTTTGAAGTAGTTCTATCGTGATAGCCGAAGTATATTTTGTTGCATGGTATTCAGGAGCCCTTGATGCGATAAGGCATCCTCCCTGGGAAAGTAAGATTGAGGCTTTTTTTTTCTCTTTTAAACTTGATAAAATTCCCTTTTTCACGAGGTGTCGTTTTCATTTGCAAGGTTGAACACGTGGTGAAAACTTTTGCTGATTTGTGGACATAAATGATGGAGGGAAGCATGTGGCGGAAATTAATTTTTTGATTTTCCGGCGCTCGCGGTGCAGGTGGAGATGTTGGCTCGCAAGGATTTGATCAGGAGGGGAATTAGGGTTGATGGAGTACCTGTATTTGTCTTGGAGGAAGCATGAGTATCCTTAAGTCAATATTGGCCGTATTGGATCTGCCCATGGCCGGAAGTTACTGCGTAGTTCCCGGATGTGTCTCATTGATTCCGTGTGGTATTTTTATCTTCCAAATAAGTACTTCTGGTTACATTCAGTATTTTTGATCCAGTTCCTCGCGAAATTTCCTGTAGAAAGCGGGTTTCGAGTGTTCGTTATTGCGTGTAAGCATGGTTCTTCATCAATTCTGAAGGATGTACAGTAAAATCTCATTGCACGAAATTAGTCAGTATGACAAACTTTTCCTCGAGTCCTGACAGAAAGCCCATGCATGGAGCACATGTTGAAACAATCTCATGGTAGCAAATTTCCCAATTCAAAAATGAACATTTTTTCGAGGAATGTTCGATATATTCTCCAAGTATAAATTTCCTGATTAAGGCAGGCACAGTCATATTTGAGATCAGAAATTTCAAACTGGCCGGTTCTTGTGCATGGATGGAAGCTATGATTCATGAAAAATGTGCTTCCAAGTGGTTCCACTTGTAATCCTCCCATAATGAAGATATTTTTGCTACGGATGGAATGCATAATTGACGCTGTTTTTTTCAGATCTCCCAGTTTCTTAAACAACAATAAAAAATCCGATCATGCGAGGAAAGCAAGATCTAAAGATTATAGGCATGTTTGATGTGAACATTTTTTCAGTCATTTGAAAATCTCATGAAAAATTATTCTGTGTAGCACATTTTTCTGAAGTCCCAGAAGTTTGTTGTGACGAGATTTTACTGTATTCGGTTTTGCAGAGGTTTTCCAGCCAGCAGGTCCGATGATAGAGGCTTCAGCTCCTGTGCACGAGTGGACGTCACAGCCTTCAACGTCGACGTCGCCGCGGTCTGAACCAAGCTCGCCAGGGCGTTTGGTGAAACCAGTAGCCCAGCACGTCACTGCTGCACCAAAGCCGTCTACAAGTGCCCACGTGGCACCTTATGTAGCTCTGGCTGCCCAGCCAGTGTTCCCATTTGCAGCCCCGCTTTGGCAGGGTGTCCAAACTGCCTGGCATCCCCCTGTGTCGTACTATCAGGCTGGATTTGTTGATGCGTTGCACGCACAAGTGAGTTATTTTTTTGAGAAACACCTTTTTGTACCAGTGTTGAACGGAACTGTGAGTGGTTTTATATTTTATTTTTATTTTTTCCAGATGCCGGGACAATTTTTGTCAGCTTTTGCAACACCCTACGGGCAAGTGCCCAAGTTCGGACCGTGGTGCTCACCTGTCATGGCGCGCCCAGTGTTGTACAAGTACGGAATGTCTCCGTTTCCAACCGCAGGGATCTCCACTGGTCCGATGCCACCATCCTCTGGTGCCCAGACAGTGAGTTTTTCGGTTCCCCCAATTTTTTAGTTAGCAGAACGTTTACTGCTGCGTTCGAAAGTTTGTATCGATGACGAATACGAAGTTGATAGTTTTGACTTGAAAAGAAAGGAATGAGCGTAAATGTTGCCATCCGACTAAAGGCATCGAATTTTTATGCAGAGGTTGACTGAAAACTTGATCGGGTTTAGCCCACGCTAGGACACAGATTTAGAAAGTGTGTCATGCGTTGAAAAAGGCAGATCAAAGTTGTTTTTTTTTCCGCAAGATAAGTGCTGAAAATCGCATAAAGGTTAGTTTGTGACAATATTAACCTAAATCGATCTGCCGACTTGAAAATGTGACACGATTGGTTTCACAGTATTTTTTCCGTGAATGGATTGAAGTCGAACGAAAATTATGCCTTTGAACGTTGGAACTTGAAAAAAAATGTGGTGGGATCGCATTAACTGATCAAATCAGACATGCTGAGTCTGCTACACTAAGGGATATCAGACCTCCTGGAGCATTTGTTGAAAATTCGGTTGGAGCATTTGAAAATATGTAATGTACCAAAGTAATGGCAATCGTTGTTCGATGATTTATGCATGCATTCTAAAAGTATCTTCACTTGACAGAAATGTAAAACTGCGTGACAAAATCGGACTTTTTCTAAACTGTTCACGCCTTTGATGAAATCAATTCTTGTCCGACTCAGCTTTGCAAGTTTCTTGTATCATTGCTTGGCGATCTTCAGCAACATCCACAGTATTATCAGTCCATACCTCTGATGCTTTCTGCGTTTTTAAGAAAAAAAGTAATTTATGGATCCCCGGAAATATTTCCTCTTCGTACAGTTTGTTTACTCGTCCGTGGACCTTCAGGTACTTTTGTGGAGTTGAATCGATTTTAATTCAGTTTTTAACCAATTATTCGCGGCATGATCGTACAGTATTTGAGAAATTGTTTTCTCTTTACAGTCACAAGTGTCTGCACCTGAGCCAGCTATGCCAGCAAGTTCAACAGTTACATTTGTTACACCAGCGCCTCAGCCCGGCCCAACCTTTTCCCAGGTATTTCAAATGGGGTCTTCAATAAGCCGAATCTCCTCGAATTTCCAAATTGATTTATGAAGAGTAATTTGTTGATTTCTCGAGATTTTGTTTTCTCCATGTGCTTTACAGTATATGTTAGCTGTTTCATATCTGATGAGACTTCTAAGAAGTGGAAAGATCGCGTATACAGTATTCTGAAAAAATATTTCGTAATTCCATGTGAGATTTCTTCGTTGAAGGTTCCAAAAAACGGGCCTACTGGCCCCCGCAGTGATGGCAGCAGGGGGCCAGTTAGAAATCGGTCGCCACGCCCAGAGGTATTAACCTCGAAATCCTCCGAACCCCGATCTGCAACGCGCAACTTCCGAGTAGCCATGGGTGCTGCAGCTGGGATCCATTTGTTCGCCAGTGAAAAGGATGGCGTGCTTGTCGACGTCCATGCCGTCAACCTTGACAAACGCTGTGACTGGAAGCCTGGCAAAAAACCTGCTACCGGTTAATCTCATTTTTTCATTAGAGACTGCAATGAATTCCCCTCTTACGATTAAAAATAAACCACATGCGGTGGTGCGTGTGAGATAACCGGCTTTTTTTTTGTAATTGTGAAGCTCAGTGTCTGCGACGTTATGATTTTCATGGCCATTACATATATTTTGCAAATATTCTGATTTTTTTTTATGTACGTTAGCTTGGGTTACTCCCGGTTTGGTAGGGTTTGATCAGAATAGTTCAGGCCCGTTTTTCTTTCAAGTTTCAATGAGATCGAGTATATTCGGTCATTCGTACGATTCAGGCGACACCTTTCCCAACTTAGCAGAAGTCAGTGATGGGCTTTGATGGTAAAAGAACTGATGTACAGTACTGTAATTCGGACTCGCAGATCTTTCGCGAGCGTGGAGGAGATATGGCTCGTAAAGGAGGTCCTGTAGGTTTTAGAAAATACAGCTAGGTGGATCGTGGATCTCTTTTGGATGCTGATTACGCATTTCGTCGTGTTTCGTAGCTCCCAAGAAGGGGAGTTTGTTGTTGTCCCGTCCAAAACCGAGACTCCGTCCGGAACCGAAGCGAGTAGAAGAAACAGGCCGTTCTTCCCATGCACAATTACTGAAAGCAACAGAAACAGTCATTGATGTTCTCAAAAGCAATGGAATTACAGTGAGAAAGCCAAAGCTGAAAGAGAAGTCTCCGAAACCCATTTTTGCCAAGAAACCTTCCAAGAAGCCCAGAAAGAAGGTAGTGAAGGAAGACGTTCCAGCTGCATTGCAGCCAGTGGCGGAGAACTCTCAGTTCCCCAAGTGGTCCAATGGGTGGGCTTGGTGTGGTGAAGCCAAAGACGGGCTTGTTTATCTGAAGGTGGTCGCGGATGGTTTTTCTACTTTCGTTGAAGTGGGTGTCTGATGTAGAACGTCATTATTCTCAGGGAGATCAAGCCCCGGTGATGAGGAAGTGTTATCAAGCAATAGTGCACCAACAAGGGGACGTGGTGCGAGTCCGCGACTGCATCCTCCTGCGCTCCGGAACCCGCAAACTTGACCTGCCCTTTGTCGCCAAAGTCACTGCACTTTGGGAAAGTCCCGGAGACAGTGAGTGTTTCTATCGCCCAGGAAAGACAATCCTCACATTTCTAATCGTGTTGTTTTTTGTTGTGGTTTCCAGGAGAGATGATGGTATCAGTGCTTTGGTACTACCGAAAGGAGCAGACGTCTGCGTCCGGGAACCCGTTGATGCATGCGAATGAGGTTTTTGCTTCTCGCCACTGCGATGTCATTGTGCCAGCTTGCATTGAGGACAAGTGCTATGTTCTCACTTTCAATGAGTACTCAAGGTTTGTCAAAAACTTCCGGATTTTCCAGTGAACAGTACTGCGTTTTTCGGTAGCGTGTGCGAGGGTTATTTGAAAAAGTTGCGAATCAAATTCTATCTGACTTCAGAGGCAGTCAGTGTGGTGAAGAATCAAGTTTTCCTTGCTTGCCCATTGTCTTTGAGAAATCTCAATTTGTTTCTGAGTTCTTTGGGCTGCAATGGAACTTCAAGACAGTCAAACCGCGTTAAGCCGCTACCTTTTGTTTGGGAGGCTTGAGGCGGTTTAGCAGGGTTGGTGGTTCATCGAAAAAGCTTAAAAAATATGAAAATCGAGTATAATAGGAAATGGAATATTTATTCTTCCAGAAAACAATCAAAATCATCCTGGGGTGCGTAAATTGTATCTTCCTGATGTTCCAAGAAGTAAATTATGTCGTCTTTGTGTTTGTATGTTTTTTTGTTTATTTATTGGAGACCTTTCACAGAAACTTCAATCTTGTTGGTGAACTATTGACGACGATATTAATTGGCAGGAGCATATTTGAGTTATCAATCATTTTGACGAATGGCGTTTTAATGAGGTTTCCAATGCTGTTATTGTTTGAGAATGCAGTATTTCTTTTTCGAAATAAATTGGCAACTCCTGAAGACTTCTCAAATCTGAGGAAAGCTTCATTCCCTTGAAAACCAGCTTTTCTTTTAAGCTTAAAAAGTTTTTTATTCATCCTCACAAATGAGCAAATCGAGAGATTTTTAAGAGGTACCTGACGATGAAAATCCACTACTTTGTACCTAAAAATAAAATCGATCTGGAAAAATACTACGTTTTCCTGATTAATGCCGGTGTATGTAATGACCACGAGAAATTCCACTCACAGTTACCTTGGGATTTGATGACATTGTAACGGATATTGGACTTTTCTCCAGGTCGTTCTCAAACATTCCTTGCATTTTTCAGAAATGATCAGGTGGTGAGACTGGTGACTCAACTGCAGTGTATTTGAATTTCTTCTTGGTTGGAGCACCTCAAGAAATCTAATCATGTTTGGCACTTCCGTCGGAACGCGAAACTTCTTTGCTAATCAGTTTTTAAATCCTTAGGTAGCTTGGAAGGGAAAAGATACTGTAGGTCCATCATAATTCATATGATGGGATGAGTTATCCAGTGAAGTCTAGTTTTTGTACCCTTGGTTTTTTCCCCGCATCTTTCAGCAATCCGGGAATAGAAAATATTTAGCATCACAGTGCTCCTCAAAAAAGGGAGCATCTTATGTTATCTGATGGACTGCTTTCAATGTTTGAATCGACTTTCAAAGTTTTTTTTTTGTGAAACTCTCGGAAGCGTGCAAAATTTCATCAATGATAGGCATTTTTTCATGGACAATGTGCTCTTCGTACTGTGAAATGAACTTTCATGAAGTATCGCTTCAAGTAGAGCATAATGGTTTTGCGTATGAAATAAAGTTGTGCATTACAGCCCAGGCATCTGCTGATGATCGAATTGTTCCCTGCAGGTACAGAGCAGTGATCAAGATGATAGAAGAAGGAATAGTTTTCATGAACTCGGTGGTGCCAGAGCCGAGCGAGCCGTACTCGCGCCAAGAGTCACTACCCAAGTCACACATGCCACCGGACAGGGTGTTCTTCTGCCGCAGAGTCTATGACTTCCGTCAGCACCGAGTCCTTAAAAACCCATGCTGACCTGACGTCAACATTGCTCCCGGGGCTCTGTTTTTTTTTTTTTTTTTTTTTTTTGGGTTGCAGAGGGGAAGGGGGAGGGTGGACCAATGAGTGTTTGTAGGTGGAATTATTCTCTGTTACCCAGGAAATACGTAGGCAGGGTTTGGATTTTCCTGCTTTCTGTCTCCTCCGGCTGATTATATTCTGGAGAGCGGAAGAGCGATTGGAATCTCCGAGATTCTATTGATTTGTTTATATGAATGGTTGGGCCGTTCACTTCCGTCAGTGTCCATCGTGACCTGTGGAAAGCTAACAGCTGATGTATGCGCTTCAGCCTTGAACTTTCACACGGCTTTTTTTTTTTTTTTTTTTTTTTGACAACCAGTCTAATTTACCTATGCCCTTCTTTCTCTTTTTTTTTTTTTTTTTTTTTTTTTGTTGGACAACCAGTCTAATTCACCTAGGCCCAATAAATTATGCGCATATTTTGAAATTTTGATTCAGTTTGCCTGAATGGTTGGAAGAGAAACTCGTGGGTGATCATTGAAGTTTGTATCTTGCAGAAATTTTGTGTAGTCATGGCAAGTGCAGGAACGGACGGAAGCGTGGACTCTGACGCTGTTGAGACATTCTTGACGAATTTGCTTAGCTCAACTGACTTCAATCCCTTGCTTTCGTTTCGTAAGCCCTTGTCGATTTTGGAAACCGACTTGCAAGATGAGCTCAGGTGGCTGGTGATCAGTTATCTGCGAAGCTCGTGAGTGAACATTTTAAATATATTTTTCTGCAATTTAGTAAATACTGTATTCAAATCAATTGAATAACTGACGCTTGCTGATGTTGAAAATGTGCGTCATGTTCTAGTTTTCCGTCTTGATGATGAGAAAAAAATTGAGTCCATATGTCGGAACGACCGCATGTGGGATGACATGTTCCTATAGACCAAATCAGAAAATCACTTCTCCTGTTGGGCAAAAAACTGGAAAAAGTCTTTCAAAAATTGGATGAAAAGTTATTTTCCAATTTGTAAGATGCAAATAATAGTTGTGCAGAAGAAAACCGCACAAAATCTGCCCTTAGGCATGAAAATGCGTCCAAAAAGCAGAAAACAAGCGCATGTACCTTCATACTATACACAGTTATAATCCAAAACAGTCTAATTTTGGGGATCTCATTTTTTTTTTCATTTCCATGCTATGCACAGTTGATGGAAAAACCGCTGAAATGAGATGCATAAAATTCGTCTGTTCAGGATTATGAATGAGAGTAGGTTTGTGCGAAGAAATACGGTGCAGTATTTTGAATTATTGTTCATAGACCTGCTGTAGCAAGGAATTATTGTTCAAGAGTTATCACATATACAGTATATATTTTACCTATCAGATGAAACGTAATATATTTTTCTATTTAATGAAAATGTTGGAGAAATTTCAGTATGCTGAGACATTGTTCAGATATTATAGCTGATCATTTCACGGGTTAATGTCCATGGGTCGAATCGTCCGCATGTCGGGGTCCCGCTTGTGTAGCACACTGTAATTTCATCTGTATTGATTCCCTCGGGTTGAAATTTAAATCTCGAGAATCGTATAACATTCATGTATTCCTGAACCTTATCTCTGCAGGATTATTCAGGTTTTGTCCGCCTATGAATCAATGTGGACAATTTTTAAAAGTTTTAACTGAATTTTACAGGTCTTGTCCGGACAAGATCGTATCCTGGTTGGCCGGCGTAATTTGTGCCAGTATTGCACCAGAGGAGCTGGAGCCCTGTGAAAAACCGCCGACCGAGAGAAGAAGAGACGTTCCAGGTTTCGTCAAATTTTGATGCATTCGATGCCCGAGAATTTTCAAGACACCGTGATTTTTGTTGCAGGGTACAATGTTGTGAAGTTGGTGAACCTAGTTAGAAGGAAAATATTCCAGGTTTGTGGAGACTTAAAACGACACAGTGTGCCTCCGGGGTTCCGCGTTGAAGGAGACCAAGATGTGAAGATGAACGGCGCCGAAAAGGGCGCTGGAGATGACGAAGTGGATTCCGGGAAAGAAGACTCAGTTGCCAGGTGCTTGGAAAGAATACGTGCGACTGCAACCAGTCTCGACCACATCAGCTTTTCGTCTTCTGCCTTGAAAAACAAACGTGCGCACATGGAGGATGTGCTTTCAATCATCCCGGATTTAAGCGCTTTGTTTGGCAAAAATGTGCGTTACTTTCATGGCCCTTTTCCGTTGAGCGTCCGCCACTCTGATTTTTATGGATTGTGTTTGTTTTGCCTTGATTTTTTTTCATGCGTTGAGGTACTTCAGGTTAGTTCTGTCTGGGTAGTTTATTGCAGTGTTTTCCAACCTTTCTTGGCCCATGGAACAGAAAATTTCCGTAAATTTTTTGCGGACTGGCAAATCCCCCAAAAATTTTCTGCGACCGGCTAAGTTTCATAAAACCTCTGCAGACAGATGAAGTTTTCCTTGAAAGATTTTATGGCAGGTATATAAAAAGTTTGTACTTTTTTGCAAAAATTGAGAACTAATGAAGCTGCTATAGTGAAATGTCTTCAAAAAATTTGAAACCTGGGATTCAAAAGAGGTTCCTCTGAAAGAATTCTGGAAATGATTAATTTCTGTACGTGGAAATTTGTCTGAAGTGTTATCGGGAGAAAAGCCAATTTTCTTTCATCAGATAATTTCAAATGCCATTGTCTTTTTGAAATCTTAGGTGAAGATACCATGACGGACTTCATGACTACCTATGATGAATTTATTATGCCGCTATTATTTTGCTATTTTTCTATCAAAAAAATTTCTCACACGTTGTCAACGTGTAAAAAAATTTACTCAAGACCAGCAAAACACTTCGCTAGACCAGAGCCAGTCCGTGGATCACGGGTTGCAGACCAGTGGTTTAGGCTATGAATTATAGTATTAGCCGTTATTGTTTCCTTTTTTACGCAGTGCATAGATTATTTATCCATATTCGGTTAGCACCGATGCCAATGCACAGGTTGATTTTTGGTAGGACTGCCCATGTACAGCGTATTGCGGGGTGTTCGATGGTCACAGTGGAGCCCACGCAGCCTTATTTGCAGCGTCGCACCTGCACAGGCACATAGTGGAACACGAGCTTTATGGAAGTGACCTCACGGAACCTATTCGGAAAGCGTTCGTTGAGACAGACCGGGATTTCTGTGAACGTGTAAGGAGCTGGACCAAATGTGTTCAATTTCGAGTGATTATTCCAGCAAATGTCTCGTTTCAGTTCCGCGCCAACGGTGGAAGCACGGGACTGGTTTGCGTCGTGCGGGAAAAGAAGCTTTACTTGGGCTGGTTGGGAGACTCGGAAGCTATGTTGTATGGAAATGGCGGATCTCATATTTTGTGGACTCCCCCCCACAGACCCAACGACCCGGTTTGCGAATCCATTCGTCTACTAATGTGTCCTGGTTGGAATTGTTTCATTGCCAATTCTTTTTTTTTTTTGCAGTCAGAGAGGGCGCGGATCAACGCAGCGGGTGGTTGTGTGACGAGTGTGTACGGGACATGGAGGGTCATGGGCACTTTGGCCATCTCCAGGGCCATAGGTGAGATCTCCTGTAGTTCTGTGTCCCATTGCTGAAGCCTCTCTGTGTGGTTCCCACGAGAAAATCCCATAGGCCCGAAAATCTCGCGGGGTATGAAAATCCCTTGATGTAAATTCATACTGTACGTCAGGAAAAGCATCTTTTTTCAAATGAAGTTGGCGATGGTGCTTGGTCAAATTCTCAATCGCTGTTATCAAAAAAGTATGAATGAAAACATAGAAACCTCAAGGCATGTTATCCAAAAACTATTTTACAGAAGTGGGTGATCAATGATGATCAGTCATTGAGAGCTACTTCTTATAGTTGAAGGAAAAAGGAGATCGGAGATTTAAATCGTTTTCCGCGACTTTCAAAGGAAACGCAAAAGTTACTCCGTGAGAGTATCTTCAAGTATTATTTATTATACCTTCACACACAGTCAATACAATAAAATTATACAGAGCAAAGTGGCGTAGACTTGGCGTTCGGACAAGGTCTGGTGCGGTAAACTTAATGCAACATAAAATGCACCTGTATACGTAGCTTTGGCCAGCCAAGGTCAAAGAACGCGCATAGAAACTGATTTGGATCAGGGACATCACACTTCGTTTATTCAAAGGAAGGAAGCGTGAGCGTGGTTGGGAAAGTATTCCGTCAACAACGGGATTGGGAAATATAATTGCTAGCGCACCAGGTGCAGCCAAGCGTAGCGGAAATACATCAGCTTAAAAGGGTCACGCATAAAGTGAAGGGTGTTGTGGTCATTAATAAGACTACAAATCTCCCGTGGTCAACAAGAAAAAGCTCCTGCGTACCAAGTTTTCTCAAAGTGTTTCAGCCAGTAGGAAAAAGGATCGAATTTTTGTTTGATTCCCACACCTCCTCTGATCACGTCTCAGCCATGCGGAAAGACATTACACAGGAAAACGTTCTCATGGGGGAGCAATAAGAATGGTAATAACAACCATATCTGCCTCCCCCAACTTCTCCAAGTTCACCAGGAAGCTGTAGAGGTCTGGCATGCCTATGCCTGAATCCTCAGTTCACCTTACACCCCCTTTCAGGTATGTGCTCTTGACCCCCTTAAGCCTTAAAATCTGCTAAGTTAAATTTTGCTTAAATTGTGTGTTTTTTTGCTTGGTTTTGTTCTCTTTTGATGTTAGTTCACATTCCCATTGTTTTTGGGCAGTTTCAATTTGGTTTTGAGGTTGAATTTTGCAATTTCGTTTGCAGATCTGGAGTGCGCAGTTTGACATAACGATTGATTTTTACGCTATACGCGGATAAAAAATAAAAAAGTAAACGGTTCATCCCTTTTCAGGTCTAGTGAGGAAGGCTTCCTGCGAGTTTCAGCGATTATCACCGTTCGTTTTCCAAAATACAAGCAAAAAGGTATTTTCCCATGGACTTTTTTTGACAAAGTTGGATCAGATCTGATCCTAAGTCCGCCTTTACAACTTTTTCAGAAATTAAAACAACAATGATGGGTTTTGCGGTCATGGTGTTGTTCCTTGTGCTGGTGATGCATCCTGATGTGTCATCAGGACAATGTGTAGTCCAAGATGGCTGCCTTCATTGTTCAGAGGCATGCAACGCAGACGCAGTTCAAGCATCCAATTTTGATGGCAGGATAATCTTGACTGGTCCTGTCTTGGATTTCGGCTACTTGAGTTTCTTCATTATCAAGGTATATTGAGCAAAAAGGTGATGGCTTCGTGCAGTTGTCTTAGGTTTGTCTTGTATGTAGAAAGTGGAGCTGATTAAACCAACCCAGTGCAACGGAGACTTTATTGCGTCGGCAGTTGATCCTGCTGAATTGTGCATCAGCTTTGCACCAGTGAGGGACGTTTCTAACGTAGGGCCAGTGTCAGCATTCTCAACGGTGGCTCCAGAGGTGGCAACGGCAACAACGGTGCCTGTGACTTTGGTGCAGATGGAGGCAACATCTGTGCCATTTTCTCTTCAAGTCAATACGGAGACATCTGCTCCAGTGCCGGGTTTCGGGATGTTCATGGTGACGTCTACTGCTGCTACCATCTTTTCTCCTGCTGCAACAGATCAACAAACTTTGACCGTCCCTGGTAAGGGATCATAGGCATGCCTTGAAGTTTTTGGAAATTAACCTTTCTAATTCTTCTGTAGCTACTGTAAAACCATCTATTTTGTTGTCGGTCCCAAAAAACTTTTCGGATTTACCAGAGACAACCTTGGTTTCTGGGGACAAGGCCGATATCACCATTACGGTTTTGGAGGGAAAAGCGGTTTTGGGTGCAGAGTTTGCCACAGAATTGTTTTCTAACTGGGCTATTGGGCTGATAAGCGGCCTAGCCATCACGGCATTTGGAATGGTGACAGGATGGGTTGCTTATTGTCTGAGGAAAAAGGTACTTTATTTATTTTCCTTTTGCACCCTTTCTGTTTCTAAAGCACGTACTTGCATGAATCCTTTTGCTCTATCACTTGTTACAAACAGTATTGTCCAAAACCAAATCAGTCAAAACCTAAAATTAAAGAAGACCTTGAAGAAATTGAGATGCAAGATCTAAACCCTAAACCAATGATCGTGCATGAGACCTCAGTAAACAAAATAAAGGATGGTTTTGCTACGATTAGGTCACGCATTCTGTGTATGACTACTTTCAAACCAAGTGAGACTTAGCTGCAAGAAAAATCCCATAGTTGCATGATTGCATGGCTTCTTGGGTGTTTCTTTTGTTTTCTGCCTTCAGCCTTGGTTGCTGCCATTCCTGAGGGCAGCGGAGGAGGTGTGGAGAATCTTAATGCCCCTGACAACTCCAGCGTCATCTCCTTTACCACCGCAATCGTCGGTTGAAGTGGTATCCAACTTGATCTCCCTGGACATTGTGCCTGATCTGCTTCCACCTCCTGCTGATTTTGTTTCTGATCTTGAATCTGTTTTGGAAGAAGCTCAAAATTCCGCGGTTAATGTCAGTTCTGACAATTTTGTTTGGTTGATGACAAATAGGCATGTAACCATTAGGAGGGAATTAATAAAAATGAGCTTTGTTCAGAGAGAAATCCTGTTTTGTGGTCAATTTTTAGCTAGTACTCAAAGAAAGGATTCCGGTGGAAGGGTTCATGCGGATCTGGGGATACTTTGGTGCGGGTCAGGAACGAATAGATTCTGTAACCAATTCAACACGCACAGACATATTGTTCAAATCTATTGCTTCTGAACGCCTTCTTCTCTGCAAAACATACCATATCCTTGCAAAACAAAAATATACAATCGCGATGAGAATTATCGTTAGTAATATTATTAAAACAAGGAGATAAATATAACCATTATCCCAAAAATGCAGTTGTAGTTTGCTAATGTCCTCAAAAATTGATTTAATTCCAGGGACATTAGCCAGGATCTCATTAATTGCATGTATCTCAATGTTTTCTAACCTTGGGGTCATTTCACAAAATGGCCCATTAATCACAGTATAACGACAATTAGGTCTGAATTGAATAATACCGGAATATGGCAACTTATACGTATTTTCAGATGCTTGAGCATTAACTTCTGAACAATATTGCATAATTCGCCCCTTATCTGAATCTATAAAGGCGAATTCATCTGCATCTAATTGTATAACTGTATTTTCCGGAACTCTAGTCTCAATCAAAGGACATTTACTTTTGATTGTCAATTCCAGATCTCCATTTTGAATCAATTTAACACAATCATTTGCTTTGTAAACAGTAGGTCTGGAAAATTTGCAGAGTTTACACAATGCATGGCCATATTGCGGTAAACATAAGGGTAATTCACTAGCTTGTAAAGCAAACATTTTAGCACCCTGAGTAAGCAAATAAGGTTCTGACAAGTTTACCTTGTGCCACTTAGGCGCTCCCATATATGTATCTTCTGCAATTGGCACACTGTGAACCTTAAACAAATCCAAAATTTATGGTTGCCTAATTACTGGTACAATTGTTGTTATCCTGTAATGACAGGTTTCATTTGTTCCACACCCATCCATCACTCCAATTGTCAACAGATGCGATTTTATTAATGTTAATAATTCTTGCACTGGCAGCACATGAATTGGTGGCTTGTTTTCTGCCTCCAACACTTTACCTAGTGCAGTATTCACATACTTGTCATAATATAAAAAATTCAGGAAATGGAAATTATGTATCCAATTGATGTCTTGTAGCAAGGACGATATAACTTCATTTGCTTGGTCTAGTTCTAAACCCAAACTTAATGTTAGAAACCATGAATTTGTTGAATTAGTTTTAGCTTGTTCCACTTGGCTGGCTAAACTGATACTATTCTTATAAACCTTGCTTGTTATTACTTGATATTTTAAAGAAGTCAACAACTGTACTCTTTTTTCTTGTGCCACGGTACATTTTATCTCTTCCTTCCTCCGTTGTAAAATAGGGAGTAATCCTGTAAATGTCACATCCTTCAGAAAATTTCTAGGCTCTGTTTTGATTCTATGTTTCAGATTCTTAATTCTATTGTCCAAATCTGTATTCTTGGTTTTCAGCAAACTAAACAATGCACTGATGATTGTTTCACCGGGTGGGACATTACTTTCAACATGATTGAATATCTTAGTGGTAATGATGTCAGATTGCTTTACCAATTCTCCCACGTCTTTTGAAGATTCTAACGTCCAATAGCTATTTGGCACACATATCGGATACATTTCTTCCAATACAATGCCAACGCTACCTGGAAAGTTGCGTATGGGGGACTTTTTGTCAAACCTGTTCAGGTTCTATGATGTACCTTTATAGTTGATGGGGATTTCCTTGATTGTGAGGGAATAAGACACATCCAGGATAAATATACAAATATATATTTCCACAAAATTTCTATACACTTCCATAATTTTAGTGGGTGTTGAAAACAATGTTTATCCTTCAACGGCAGGCTGTGTACTGATGATTGCGCAGTTCCCTTATTCATTATTTTGGGGACTCTGTCTTTTTTCAGGCTCACTTGGCCTCGACTAGTTTGGCCATGCGTGCTTGCTGCCTTGTCAGAGGTTGTAGCCATGAGCTTTTTGTTTCTTTCTTTGGCTTTGTCCTCATTGGCAACACATTGTCCGAGTCCAAATGACGTAGCAAGGGATGATGCATTGGGTCTAAATCCAATTTTCTCTTCCTCTTGTCATCCTTTCTTCTTTCCATTTCTCCTACATCATCTCCTTCCTCTGCTGCTTCACCTTCCTCTTCCTCATCTCTAGATTGTGTGGATGACTTTCTATCCTTTTTCTTGCTGTCTCTTTTTTCCTTGAACTTTTTCCACTTCTCTTTGTTTCTTATCTGTCTCGGAGTTAAAGCAACTGCGCCTTCTACCTCTCCTTGTAGCATTCTTTCAGGTGTTCTTTTGGGTGTTGCTTCACCTCTTCCTGTGATCAGTTGCTTCATCAGCTCTGGTGTACTCAAGGCAGGTGGTGGACCTTTCTGAAGGACAGTTTTGGATAGACTAGGTAGAGTATCTGTCGTGGTGTCAAAGAATCTTCCTATCTCATCAGTGACTTCTCCAAATATTTCTTTGGTCTTTTGAAATAATCCAGATTTTCTTTCTGGGGACGCGGGTATTACTGCAGCATCTAGATCAGGTACTGACACAAAGGAATCTTCTTGTTTGAACTGAGAAGTGGATGAATCTTGTTTTTCTCTAGATTCTTTTTGCTTTTTCCAGATGGATTTTACTGCCTGCTTATCTATTGGGTGTTTATGGTTTTGGAACCCAAAGTTTTTCTTTGGTGTTCTCCTCCAGTTGTAGTTGGTAAGGCAGTTTCTTCTTCTTTGTCAGTCTCCCACTGTTTTTCTTTGGAACCCTGTGGGCCTTCCCATTTCCATTTTGGGGCCTCATCAGTTTGGTTGTCATCCAATACTTCTAGTATATCCTTTTCCTCAGAAGGTGTTGGCGAGGGAACTGGGGAAGACCGTAGTATCTTATACGGTCATACGTAACTGATGTGAATTACGTCAGTCCATTCCAGATTTTTGTCATCTTGCACCCTGATCACAACTGGGTTGCTTCTGTCAATGACCATGTATGGTCCTTTGTATTTTGGGGACCATTTTCTGCCTACAAAAGTGGCAGCATCATGGCGTCTTATTCATACCTTATTGCCGAGATCATAGTTGGCACCCCTTTTGTGGGTATTGATTTGATCTAGGTATGACGCTTGATTTTTTCTAATGGCCTTTTGAGCACGGTTGAGTAAAACCTCAAATTCTTTTCAACTTTCATTCCTAATCTCGTCAAGTTGTGCTTTATCTATGTACATCGGGACCCAATAATTATGAGGTTTTGTTCCTGTAACTACCTTAAAAGGCAAAGCTTGTAGAGCCTTGTGTTTTGATGAATTATGCACCCATGCAGCGAACTTTAGTAGTTTGTCCCATGTTTGCCTGTTATCAGGATCCAAATATAAAGCTAGATACTCATGCAACTCGAGATGGGCTCTTTTGTTTTGCCTGTTTCCTTGTGGTCAAGACAAGGTGGTGGTTGTCGCTTGTGCTCAAATAAACCTAGCCATGTCCCAAAATATACTGCTCAAAAAATTGGTTCCCCTCTCAGTTAATATTTTCTTTGGGGGCCCAAATAGGCACACCCAATTGCTCAGAAATGATCTGGCAGTTGTTAATGCTGACGCCTCTCTCATTGGGGTGAAGACTATCCATTGGGACAATCTGTCCTGGATTACTAGGATATACCTATTTCCTTTTGAGCTGCTTGGGACAGGTCCCACTACGTCCATGCTTACCTCTTTGAAACATTGTTTCAGCATGCCTGTGGTCATATATGGCGTTCGGTGGGCGTAGTGCTTATTAGCTTGACATATTTTGCAGGATCTGATGTAATTGCCTATGTCCCTTTCCAAATTAGTCCAGGCAAATTCTTGCCTCAGCGCATACGTTGTTTGGTCCACTCCACTGTGTCCCATTGCCGGGGGATCATGAAACAGAGCAATGATTCGCAGGCGCAGTGAGGGTGGGACCCAGATACGTGAGCCCTCTTTCTCCTTCTTTATTATCAATCCCTCCTGCTTACTGTATTGTTTGCCTGTGGGGGCATTGCCCACTTTCTCTGTCTCTCTCGCAATGAGATCCCTGGATATATATGGCAACAAGTCCGTTCTTTTAAATGCGGGTGATAAATATGCGCATAATTTCCTCACTTTCTCTGGTGGGAACCTGCTCAAAGCATCCGTATGCGGAATGCTTAACCCCCTTTTGTTCTCTACTGTACATTTGTTTTTATTGAGGGCCATAAACCATCCGATGGCTCTCCTGCTGTTGCTATTTTTCTGTTGGGCCAAATATGGGATCTCAATGTGGTCCGTACAGATCTTAAACTTATGTCCCCACAGGTATGACCTGAATAGGGACACTCCATAATAGACTGCAAGGAGTTCTCTATTGGTATTAGAATATCTAGATTTGGCTCCATTCAGAGTTCAGGAAGCACATCCTATAAGGACCTCTTTTTTGTCCTTCTGTGTCAGGATCGCACCAATGGCATGCCCTGAAGCATCTGTTGTTAATATAAATTCTTTGTCAAAGTCGGGGAAGGACAGGATTGGGGTGTCTAGTAGACATTTGATCAGGCATTTCTTTGCCTCTTCTTGTTCTTTTCCCCAATTAAATTCTGTGTCCTTCTTTAGTAGGCTATATGAGGGTCTTGCTTTTGTTGCAAAGTCCTTGATATATGATCTAAAATAACCTACCAATCCAAGGAAAGCTTGTACGCCTTTAATGTCCTTTGGTGTAGGGAAATTTCAGATGGCATCCGTTTTTATGGGGTTTACTTTAATACCCTCATTACTGATTAAAAATCCAAGGTACTCAATCTGTGTTTTAAACAGTTGAGATTTCAAAAACTTTATCTTCAAACTGGATTTGTTTAACCTGCAAAGGATATCTTCCAAATGCGTCATATGTTGTTTGGCTGTTTTGGAGTAGATCATTATGTCCTCCACATAAATGTACGCATATGATCCTAAACATCCATCCAACACAAGATGCATTAACCGTTGGAATATGCTAGGGCTATTTTTCAAGCCCATGGGCAACCTTACAAATTTGTAATGGTCCATGAGGGTGGAAAAAGTGGTTTTCCACCTTTTGTCTTCTCTAATTTTAATGTTGTAAAATCCGTGAAACAAATCAAGGACAGAAAAGAACTTTGCCGATCCTAATTCCTTAAATATCTGACTGATTCTAGGTAAAGGATGTGGGTCAGTTATCACATGCTCATTAAGCTTGCAAAAGTTGACCACCATCCTTCTTCTTGACCATTAAGGTCAGGCTGGTATACGGAGAAGCAGAGGGTTGTATTATCTCGTTGTTGAGGAGATCTTTGACATATTCTCCTAATAATGACCTCATCTTGTACGCGATAGGGTACTGTCAGGTGTAAATTGGAGAATCTGTGTTGAGGGGGATATCTGCCTCGTACATGGGGCACAGTCCGAGCTGGTCTGATTTTTTTGCCAGCACATTACGGTATTTTAGCAGCATTTTTTGGACTATTTCAATGTATTCAGAAGGACACTCAGACAATTCCAGATTCTCGTCTATGAGTTGTTCTAAGTTTTCCTTCTCTAATTTCCCATGTATCTTGTTCTTAGAGTAATTAGCTGCTGAATTTTTGGATGTTGTAAAAATTTTTATTTTTCTTCAATTTTGTCATTGATCTGGTGGCCATTTTGATACCATTCACAGATCCCATGCCAACCGTCATACGCAGGGTAACCTTGACATCCCTTTTGGTGACGTTTAAGCATAATATCCAGATTTTCCCCTTGTGCACTTTTGACAGACTTTTTGCGACAATTATTCCTCCGTTCTGAAAATTATTGACCAAGATGGATCAATCCTCTAAAGCGCGCCCTATGTCCTTGCTAGGTCTAACCCAGAGGACGGACTGAGAGTTCTTAGGTATTGTGCAAGTGTTGACCAGATATATTCGAAAAGATGCCTCTTTCAGTCCACTGATTTTATGCACTTCCTTACAGAGGTGAAAGCCTCTATCTCTTTCCGCAAAGAAAGGAATACAAACTTTGGACATATTTAAGCGCTTCTTCCCAAAATTTATCCCGGAATTTTCAGCTTTAAGCACATCATGCCCAAGAATACCATTGAATGCTCTGTCCGCTATCTTGGTTATCAATAAAGTTGCCTTGGCAAGGAGTAGGTCCTTGAACCATAAGATTGCGTCTAGGGATCCCCTAATGGGTATTTTTTGATCTTCTATGGTCGACAACGTTATCCCTGGGGTACGTGTAACGGAATCACTAGTGACAAACAAAGGAGAAATTAACAATACCTCAGATCCCGTGTTGATGAGAAATTTGACTGGGACAGCAGTTACTGATATAGATAGTAGAATGTCTGGAAGCTTTGGGGATGTGGAAGGTCTGGTCAACAGTTGCTTTCCGACTCGTTGCCTGTGAACTCCTTGATCCCTTCTATCTGCAGGCCGTCCAGTTGTTCCTTCAATGCAAAGTGGACCCGGATAATTCTATCCGTTCTCACTGTGTGACTGCTGGTGGGTGATCTTGCACCCTTCCGTCCCTTGCCTTTTTGTCCCTTGCCCTTGCCTTTGGCTTGACCTGGGCTTGACAATCAGGAATCAGGACTTTTGCTTTGGCTCAGAGATCTCCCATCTCGGGATCCTCTGACCAAGCGCAGAAGCCTGTTCTCTGCAGGGAGGGAAAGCATCAGCCTTCTCCCTTGTGGGGGAGGCAAGGCTTTCTGCTCTCCTTGGTAGCCACTCACACTGACACCTGACCAAATTTTGCCGCGTGCTCTACATTCACTCGCATAGTGACCAGGTCGTCCACAATTATAACAAGTGCGTACTGTCTGACTAACACTAGTTGTTACTGCCAAAGTATGGAAAACTCTACGGGACTCGGCCATCTGTTGGAACTTTCTCAGTTTCTCAACATTAGTGGCGGCCTCTATTGCCTGCTCTAACATGACAGGAACAACGCTGAATCTCTTTATGAAATCAGGCTGCAGGCCTGCCATAAAGTGACTCAGCATTATCTGGTATATTTGAGCCATTTGACAATCATGTCTTAGAGTTTCTTTGGCCAACATAGGGTTGGCAATGATTTTTGGCTCAGAGTTCTTGACTCGTAAAACTTTTATTTTACTCGGGGCTTTGCCCAACATCTTGATACCAATTTTCTTGATACGCGCAGAATAATCTAGGATATTCTCTAGGTCACCTTGCAATATTTTCTGCAGTTTTAACGCGCCCAAACCCATCAAATCACCGCCATATGCCTTCTCGAGAGCTCCCACTATTGTAGGATAAGGTTGGTCTAGCAATCCCGGAGTGGAATTGTTTAAGAATTCCTTTGCTTTCCCAGTAACTCTTTGGCATATTATGGATCTCATATGCGCATCAGTAACCTTGCAATTGGCTAGAGCTAGGCGGACTTCATTCCACCAGTCTACCCAAGTGCCTTTGGCTCTGGAGAACATAGGGATGTTTGCCAAGATGTTATTGGCTATGTTTTTATCACCTTTATAAGCACTGGAATCGCGTAAAGTCTTCATATTATAAAAGACTACCTCCTCCTTAGTCGGATCGTCCAACTGGTTTAAAGTAAGTTCTCTCGATTGCAGTTGAGTTTTAATGCCTAAGGCCTGTCCAACCTTGGCTTTTCTCCTTGGTCTTGTCTTTCAAATGGGCAGCAAACAACAACAACTGAGTGGTCTCAATGGCAAGAGTGCTTTTGTTCAGCACTGCCAAGTTGGGAGTGAGAGACTCTATTATCAAGTTATAACTCTTTAACTGATCAGCACGGAACTCAATTTCTCTAGTTGAAGTAGCTCTGACTTCAGCAGATGGTCTGGGTTCATTGTCTCTTTCGGCCCGGACTCTAACATTTTCTGCTTGAAGTACCCTTCTAGTTCTGTTAAGTATCCGACTGCAGCTTTGGGAGATTCGTTTACTATTTTCGCCCTATGGACACTGGGGAGTTCATCTACTCTTGGTGCAGGCAATGACATGGTGTTTTTTCAGGGGTTGGCTGTCTAAAACACTTAGCTCACGTAGTCACTCTTAACATTCTCACTTTGGCGCGGGGGATCTCTTTTTCACTGATGGCTAGTGATCTCAAGTTAACTTTTTCTTTTGACTGGGTAAAGTCTTTGTCAAACAAATTTTGTACACAACTTGTTGGTGAGAACTTTTGATTGCTGATCCGCAATTCAACAATTAAATTTCTTTAAAAGCACTTTTCACCTCAGTCTCTTTTTCTCATTCAACTTTCTGCACTAGCATTTGCATCACCTGTAAGAATTACTACACTTGGTGCACTTTAAATGCAGCAACTCTAGGGATCCACCCCCCCCCCCCCCAAAAAANCCCCCCCCCCCCCAAAAAAAGAAAACTACGGCTGCGCCAAATTTGTTATCCAAAAACTATTTTACAGAAGTGGGTGATCAACAATGATCAGTTGTTGAGAGCTACTTATTATAATTAAAGGAAATAGGGGATCAGAGATTTAAATCGTTTTCCGCAACTTTCAAAGGAAAGGCAAAAGTTACTCCGTGAGAGTATTTTCAAGTATTATTTATTATACCTTCACACACAGTCAATACAATACAATTCTACAGAGCAAAGTGGTGTAGACTTGGCGTTTGGACAAGGTCTGGTGCGGTAAACTTAATGCAACGTAAAATGCACCTGTATATATAGCTTCGGCTGGCCAAGGTCAAAGAAGGCGCATAGAAACCGTTTTGGATCCGGGATGTCACACTTTGTTTATTCAAAGGAAGGAAGCGTGAGCGTGGTTGGGAAAGTATTCCGTCAACAACGGGATTGGAAAATATAATTGCTAGCGCACCAGGCGCAGCCAAGCGTAGCAGAAATACATTAGCTTAAAAGGGTTGCGCGTAAAATGAAGGGTGTTGTGGTCATTAATATGACTACAGGCACAAAAATCTAATGGATTACCAAATTGTGAAAGTGTGTCTTTGGCGCTTCTTTTGGACCGTTTTGAAAGTCTAGGATGACCTTTCTCCAGAGTCTGAGAAAGATATACTCTTCATTTAGAGCTGTACATATTGGCTCTGTGTTCTGCGCTTCACTCAAAAGATGAGGCACCCATTTTTCAGATTTTTCGGTGTAGCCAAGCTTTCACTTCAGAATTCTAGAATAGAAGTCAATGGAGCATTAATTCCAAGGGTTGCCTCCAGGTCTTCCTTGGTCGTTTCACCATTTTCATTAACGGCCGCCACATTCTTATCCCATGTGGCGGCTGTAGCTTCTTTTCTTAACCAGAAGTGGAGCTTTTTGCGAAATACAGCGTGTTATTCTTTTCCCAGTCTCTCCAGCTTCATTTCAGAATTTCAACATCGGCTCCTTTTTTCCGAACGAACAGTATGTGGGAAAGAGTTTTTGGTTTATTTCAGAGAACATGCTGATGTTAAAAGTAAGTCGTTTATTTTTGTCAGTGTACTCTGAAGAGTACACAAGGTCATTCTTCCTGGGGAAAGTCGAAAGACGGGTTCAATGGAAGAAGAGTATATTTTAAATAGTATTGTATCTTTGAATTTCATCAAAGAGTGTTGAAAATCATGACTGAATTTTAATTATCCTTTGCAGAAGCACTTCGTAGCATGTTATTTCCCACAAAATGTCCGTCCAGAATGTCTTTCAAATAAGCATGTGCTCATAATACATTTTTCCCAGGTTTCTGAGGGAGTTTTTTTCCAAGATATTACTCTACTTCCAATGGTTCAATTCGAATGTGAAATGGGGGCTTTTTTAATTTTTGAAAGTGGTATTCAAACTTAATGACACTTTTACTGATATCTTCCTGACGTCATTAAGATTTACATATCACACCAATTTTGCATAAACTTCAGTGATTCAAAAAATTAGTACAGACCCTATTCAAGTATTGCTGATGCAGAAATATTACTGGATTATGCATTGTACGTGGGATTTTAGTTTGTACTACAACGCAGAAAAGAACAAGCATCACCGTGTGAAGGAATGAAAATGAAGAGATCAGATAGAAGCGAGCTTCAAATTATCAGAATGACTAGTGTATCTTTTTTAAATTGACTGTTGCATGCATATTCCTATGTTCCAGATTTTAAAAAAATAGTCAAGTTGGGATTCTGTGATTGGGCCTCTACTGTCCCGTTCGTGGTTGCGGACTTTTTGTATTTTCGCATTTTTCGGAGAATTGCGTGGTCTTTGTATTGGGCATGGTTTTTATCAGTTCTGCCCAACATACGGCCCGCTGGCTGGATCCCACCCACAAAGACTTCATTTGTTCTGCAGCCCCCTTTTTTTTAAAATCATTTTTAAGATTATAACCATCACTATTTACAGTAGATATTCTAAGTTCTAAGATGTACAGTACAGTATTTGTAAAATATTTCTGATGCTTCTGGTTTGCAAATGAACTGAAGGAAAATTCCTCCTGCTGTTGCTTTCTCACACAACATTCTACCAGATCTTCCTCTGGAGTGTTCAAGTGTTGGACTGTAATGCTGTCTAATGAAAAGGAAAAATCTTTGAAGTCAAAGTTCAAATTTGTATTAAGTTTTCATTCTTTTAGTACACAGGCTTGCTTCTTGAATTCTGATCTTGTTCTGCTCTCTATCCTTTCAAACACCCAAATTGATTAATCTCAATTTCCCCCTTCCCAGGAAGCTTAAAAGCTTCTTGAAAAACTGCAAAAAACTCACACAAATGGAGCAGAAATACACTTGAAAAACCTATCAGAAGTTGCCAATGCACCAAAAATAAAGCTTGTACAAATGCGCACAGAACAGCTGGGATGCCCAAGGAGGAAGGTTTAAATCTCCCTGATAGAAAATTTTCAATGTGAGGCATTCTATTTTTCCTTATAGAAAATTTTCAATGTGAGGCATTCTATTTTTCCTTATAGAAAATTTTCAATGGGAGGCATTCTATTTTTAAGTCAAAAGTCCAACTGTAAATTGAAATATTCCCAGTGGGCAACCACTTAACATTGTTCTGATTTTTTTTATGTTTTTTAATTGACTTCCTGGGAAGCCCCTTGGTGGAGTAGCTGCTCCCAAGGATGGTTTTAACTCTGTCCTGGCTGCCAATAGGTGGCTATCAGGGGGTCTGGACTTGAGTGCAGGAAGAACAAAAAGTCTGCAGCTGCACACGTCCTAAATTGAAGTTTTCTTTCAGGGTTTTAAATACATTTTTATTTTACAATTGTTCCAAGTATTCAAAAATTAAAATATCGCTCTACGCTTCAAAAATTATATCAGGATATGGTCATGATTCAATGCATATCACTGAATTAAATCATTTGAAACTTTTCCCTTCAAAGGGGCTTAAAAATTGTCTGAAGTGGTCCACAAGGACTCTAATGCCAGAATGTAGCCCTTGACCACGAAGAATGTATTGTCACCCAAGTTGTTCTCCATTGCCTTCCCTCATTCATAGAGAATGCTGTTTCTGGGAATTTTTAATTTTAAGGTTTTGCTTGACAACTGAGTTGCTTAACTGTAATGTGCGTATTTCATTCATTGGTTATCTGCCTTTTGACTGTCCCAGTTTCCTTTTACTCTCGTTTTGGACACTCACTGTCTGTGCCCATCTAAATTGGTATGAGGGTGCCCAAGCAATCCTGTACTCATTGCACATCTTTTCAATGCCAGTTCAAGTTCCTGCTTGAAGAAATACACTGCACTTGGCTGAACTTTTGTAAGAGGATTATTTTTCTTTGAGAATCACCCCAGCCATGAGAAAACATGAAATCTCCTATTTGAATTGATTATTCTCTTTTGGCTCAAATCAAATTTAATGATCAGAGGAAGTGTTTTGAGGCAAATCAGGTTTATTTCATTTCTGAGCTGACTTAGGATAACATTATTAATATGACCATTGGCAATATGTGGGTTGGGCAGCTCTGGTTTATATTGTCTCAGTCATTTTTGGGGTGGAACCCTGATTTGTTTTATGAGTATTTACTGTGAGACACCCGCGTAGAATGAAAAATGTGTGACAACAGCGGGATAGCAAATGACTTTGTGAAGGTGTTCGGGAGGTGGACAGTGGGGGAGAATAACTTCGTGGCGTACGTGTCAACCGTCTTTTGAGATTTTGGGAAATTTTCTGTGCTTTTATCAAATTTTTATCTTCGTTCTGCGTTCAGCCTCAGCTTGCTCAAAGTTGCGGGCGTGTTTCTGAGCCTGTGTAAAAAAAAAAGCGATCTGAATTTCGAAGCTACTCGTCCTGAATGCTCCGTTCAGTCGATGCCTATTTAAAACAAATCACTGTCAATATTTTCAGGGGACTGGAGTTACAAGGAGTGCGTCAGCTCCGAGCCTGACGTGAAATGCATCGACCTGGACGGATCCGAAGAACTCGTTATTCTGGCCAGTGACGGGCTCTGGGACACCATCAGCCACTACGATGCCTACGACATCGTTATGGGCACCCTTTTTAGTGAGTGTCTTTTTTTTTTTTGTTGCGGCATTGTTTTCCTTTGTCTTGTTTACCTGTACTGCTCGTCATTCCCTTTGAGTCGGGAATGAAGAGATTATCGGTGCAACGCGATTCTGAACCTACATTTTCGAATCCGTGGCCTGTGAACCGGCCCAGGTTCTACTAGCTGTACCGCTGTTCGCCACGATATTGTTGAATCTCGAACTAGTACGCAGTTGGAAAGCTGGAGAGCTAGTGTGTAAAGTGACTCAGAACAGGGACTGGTGAAAGAGCAAAAAATGCGCGTTTGTTTTCCCCTGCAACAACCGAAAAATTCTTGGGATCCCTGGGCTCATTTTTTGTCTTTGTTTTGCTGTTGTGCAGCGTGAAAACAGAGCAGTGTCTCTTTTTTTCTCCAGTTTTATTAGGCCTCTTGGATTTTATGCCGTTTTTTTATCCACCTTTTTTTTTTTATAACTAGAAGGGTTACCGAAGCGCATATCTCATTCAATATTCGGAATAGATAATCGTGCGGTCTTGAAATGAAGGTGAGGATGTTTCCTAAATTTTTCGTGATCACATTGAATTGGATCTTGAGCTTGACTAAAGGATGCAATTTATTGGAAAACTTGCACCCAAGCTTTATATCTTACTGGTGCCCAAGCTTGTGATGCAAAAGAGACTTGAAAAACCCAGTTCAGCAACTCATGAGTGAATTCAATTGTGCAACACTCGAACAGGCTTGTGGAAGAAAAAAAAAAACCAATGCCTTCATATTCAAAACCAACCTTAAAATGAGAGTTGATGCGTGATTTTTTGTGATCATGAAATCCCCCAGAATTTTTTATTTATTTTATGAGAGCTACAGAAAGCTGAACCCGTTGCTTGGGTAGATCAGTTAAAGTTGACCAGTAGCGTTTTGTGTGTGGACTCAGCTGGGAATTTTTTTTCTATGTGTTGGCCTCTTATTTTAAAGTTGAAATGGTTTGATGACTTTTTCCTTCTGATGTAACTGCTATGGGTCTTTCTACCTTGTGTAGTGTGAACTGTTGGTGAACCCATAAAATAAAATAAATGACAGTATCAAACTATCAATTGCAAAATAGCTTTTTTCAATTGACCTGTGTCTGTGAGGTGTGTTTTTTGGTACTTTCCTGTTATCTCAGTACCTCATTCCTAGACTGCACTACCATCTAGACAAATCTTCAGGATGAGTTCATAATCACAACAACCTACCAGAAACTGTAAATTTTATTTTTCCGCATTCTGCTGAAACTGATTTTGGGAGGCAGTTAGGTAAAGTTAGGTTAGGTCAGGTTATGTTAGTTAAAATATATTTGTAACTAACATAACCTGNCTACCAGAAACTGTAAATTTTATTTTTCCGCATTCTGCTGAAACTGATTTTGGGAGGCAGTTAGGTAAAGTTAGGTTAGGTCAGGTTATGTTAGTTAAAATATATTTGTAACTAACATAACCTGACCTAACCTAACTTCACCTGACTGCCTCCCAAAATCAGTTTCAGCAGAAACCAAAAGAAAGCAGAAACTGATTTTGGGAGGCGGTTAGGTGAAGTTAAGTTAGGTCAGGTTAAATTGGTCAGAGGGAAGGTACAGAGATAACAGGAAAGTGTGTACTGAGATAACAGGAAAGTACCTGTTTTTGTGGCCCCCCTTGAAAAATCAAGAAGGTCCTCTGAAGGAAACCCCAAATGTACGTGTACATTCAAAACTTCTGTGTGAGGGAAGATGTGTGAAAATGTGAAACTTTCTTGTGTGTGATTTAAAGCAGAGCTTTTAAAGACTATTGTGCATTGTTTAGATTTTGATGCTCGTACTCAGTGTATCACCTTGCAGGACTTCTATGGTTACCAACCTTTTTGAAGCTTAAAACTTGACTCAAGTTGAAAATTTCAACATTAATTATATACAGACTGTGAATGTCTCATTTTATTTTACGAAATTGTATACCCAGTGCCCTTTCCAATCACATTCCCAATAATTCCATTAGCCATCTGGCGAGTGTTTCCTGTGCCACTCGGGGTGCCATTGCCAGATGGGATGTGGGAAAAGGAAGGCTGAATTCAGACCGCAGTACCCATCCGCGAATCCATTTTACACCAGTTGATGACGGGACTGGATTGATGAAGAATTAAAGATGGAGCATTCGATGCTAAATCGACTACTACTGGAAGTCATTTGCTGAAGTTGGGGATGCGATGTACTATTGTCAATAGAGTTGAAACTCCGAGGCTCGATCCACGAAAATTGTGAAAAGCCTGGATATTGAAGGAATGGCAGTGAGTTGGCCGCAGCATAGGCCATGACAAGTTTAAGCTTGATTTATTGGTTTGCTGGAAATCCGGCAAAATATGCCTGGTTTAAGGTAAATTATGACCAGCATTTGCATTTCGAGCAAATATTTCCTGGAGAAATGAGCTGACGTTTTTACCTTGTACTGGTGCTAAATGGTTTATTGCCAAATACAGTATGTTAGTTACTTCTGGCTTTTGTTGAATTAATTCAAATGGCTTCAGTCATTTGTGTGCGTTTCAATTTCGGTGTAAATTTGCCGCGTCTGTTGAATGAAATGCTGTACTGTCAAACCTCTTGTAAGTCAAATTCAGATGTGTGACCAAAAACTTTGAGTTTGGTGGACTGGGGCCGAAAATGTTTGCTGAAATTTCCGGAATGAGATATTTTGGCTGAGAAATGATGATCATAAAAACAACTCTTTCATCTTCATGATTAAGGCCTAGCCTTGAAAACTGATTTTATGAATGAGTGTGCAGGATGCCAAATCTCAAGTCAAGATTATGTGTGTGCACAATTACTGTACAGTTGTTCACCTCCTTCCCAAAGTCATTGAATTTTTTATCCTCCAGTGTCTTCGGAAGAGTTTTAGAGGTCTACAGTTAAAATATTTCGGTGGTTCAGGTTACAGTAGACAGTTTTCAAGAGGCCTCAGGCGGGGAATAGATGAACATTCGGGTTAGTGTGATTAGGGGAGGTTTGAGTTAAAAGTGGTCCAACTGTATAAGCAAAGGGAACAAGTGCAGGGGATGTGAAGGATTGATCTTACAAATTCCTCCGAACGAGGCAAATTTTGGAATCCTGAAGTCAAAACCATAAAAGTCTTTTTCATGTTTTCTACTACAGTGAGACCCCGAGATGCAGACGTAAGTGGTGCATCAAGAGTGTCCCCAAGTCAAAATGTCCCTAAGTCGAGTCTTGTTTTCCCATAGACTTACATTATTTAATTTTTTATTTGTGTTTTATGGAGGAAATATACTTCAGAATTCCCTGAAAAAAATTGTTTGCCACTTGAATTTGAATTGAAGAATACATTTTCAACTCAATAAGAACATTTGGAGCATTGAATAGTGTATTTCTGTACTGTATACACTGAAATTTTGGCATCTACAAAAATAACACTCAAGTGAAAAAAAAGTAGAAGTCCCTCTATGCTGGAGGTAATTTTTTAAATTAGCTAAATGGATGGTAATTTGGTGACAGAAATGCCCAAGAACTTTTCTTAAATACATTATAGGGTTGGAAATATCTGTTCCTTGTAATTTGGCCTGAAAATTATTTGCAATTTTATCACAAAATGTCCCTATGTCAAGTCTGTGTCCTCATGTTGCGCCTTTTTTATTAATTTTTTTGTGGGAACATGAGTGTCCTTATGTCAAGTTGTCTGCATGTTGAGGCGTCCGCATGTGGGGGTCTCACTATATTTTTATTTCAAGTGGTAATGGCAAGCTTGTCAAGCTTTCCCTCTTGTTGCTGTGCAAATTGTTGGTTAATTGATGCCTTTTATTGATTGCCTAAACTGAAAATCTCAAGTTCAGTGGTAGTAAGAACTATAATCCGGGCTATGAAAGTCTTCAATTAATTGAAATTCATGACAACTCAGAAATACTGTAAAATTCTGATCTGAAATGGAGGATTGTGGTAAAACAAGAAAAATCGGCGTGGAACCATTCGTGGTTGGAATTTCGAATGCCATAAACGAGTTTTTTCTTTGATGAACTGTGCATAGAATGCCTGTCATAAAAGTGACTCATGATGCGAACGTTTGTTAGACCGATGTTGCGGTTGTAAAGAGGGACATGAAGTGATGCTATAAGTAGACGGTATATTGATCAAACCTTGATGCTCCCTATTTTTAACGGGGTGGATAAAACTGGTGAGGGGACATACTCTACTTTACGTATACAGTACTTTGCATCAGCACAGGGGAGAAATTAAAATGCGTCGATTTCGTCGGGTGTATACCAGGTTCACGAATGTGCGATGAGCCATCTGCTGAAACCTAAATTTCCTAAAACGTTGTAAAATCAACTTTATTCCTAACCAAACTGGGATGGATGCTTTGGATTTCCTTGCAAATGCATTTTAAATGGTTGCTTGTAGTACATCGTTAGTGGAAGGAATATTGAATTATATGAGATACCATGCTGGGATATCTGGAATTTTTCAGGAGGAAAGAACCCTGCAAGTAAGTAAAATCTCGTTACAACGAATACCCAGGGACCAGATGAAAAACTCGTTATACTGTACTGAAAATTTTGTTGTATCGCCTGATTCATGGTTTTCAACACATTTTAGACTGGGATTCTCTTGGAAATGGGTAACAAAAATCCATTCTGGAAATACTCTATGGAAAATTCTTTCAAACCTTATGTTCATTTGAAAGAAAGACATACATTCTGATTTGGAGCTGAATAATTTACTAGAAATACGCCATGTTGTGTATTTTCTCTCCTCAATGTTTTGCTTCTTTGATGAAGTTGGAATGTTGCAGCAGTTCAATTTTTTTGCTACAGGTGGTACCCTGCAATTCAACCCTAATCTGTTGCTGGGTTAGGATCAAATTGCAAAGCAATGTCAAAGTTGATGTTTTCTACAACCAATTTGTAGTTTTGTGTCTCTTTGCAGGTTGGATTGTGGGGCAGAGGTCGAATTGCAAGTTGACTTTATGTCAAATTGCAAAATACCACCTGTATTTATGAAATAGTCCCTGCAGCCTATGCACAGGATAAGGGCCACATTTTTTGTGTACTGTGCTAAAATGAATTTGTTAAAATCAGGTTTTTATAACATTTCACCTTTGGAGAAACTGCAGGGACCAAGAAAAAATTCATCATCACGGAAACGTCGGTTATAACGAGATTTATTGTAACGGAATTTTACTGTATCGCACTGGATAGTTTTTCTGAATCATATCAATGTATTGTGGACATATCGGTGTTCTGCTTTCTTATTCAAATGGGTTGGGCACCCCCTGAGGAATCATTTCTGTTGCTTGGAAAAAAAGATGGCAGGATGAGTCAATATCACGAATTCTTGATTACCGTCAGAATAGGATGGTTTTTATGCGGCGTGATTTTCTCCGGGGTGCATTTGTCTTGGATCCCTTTCACTGCGTCTCCTTTTCCACGTACGTAATACGTCTGGGTTCTTTTCCTCCTGTCACCCTGATGAGGTCCTGAGGGATTATGCAAGTTCCACTCCAATGAAGCTGTTGGCCTTGTTTCTGGGATGGGCTGCTTTTTGACCTCTGGACCACCTGTGTCAGTTAACATGGTTTCTCGATGATTTTTTGAAAGAGAGATGGGCTCTCTCTACAGCGATTTTCTCGATAATTTTTTTTTTTAGTGCCATGGGGTTTTCTGAACGTCCTATAAGGTTTCTCTGCTACAAAATTCTTCCTAAAAAGATTTTTTTTCCTGTAGAGAGAGAGAGAGTCCACCTGTATGACGAGATCATTTTACGCATATAGAGTTGAACTATGAAATCCTCCAGCAATAGTGACTCATTTTTGTACACTAGGTCTCTTCAAGATTGAGATGAGGTAGTAAAGCCACAACAAATGGATTCCCTGTTTTGTGGACGATTTGAATTGCATACACCTTATACTCAAAAAATCTACCCCCAAACATGTGGACAATGTATCAAGAAATGAACACTATCGCAAAATTGCCAGGGAGACCAATGCATTTTACTTCTGAAAATGTTATTAAAGTACCTCTTGGGGAAATTGAGTTACTGTCCTGGACATGAAGTCAACATAAATCATATGAATTTTTTGTATTTTTTCTGAAATAGGCTAATTTAGTGTCAGGATTTACTTTTGATAAAATTCATGGGAGCATAAGTAAATTTGGTGTAGAGAGAATGCCTTCAAGAGAACCCTTTTTAATGTGTAGGGAACCCTATGAAACCAAAAATTGTTTTACTGTACTAATCAAATCATTGTTGACAAATTCATTGTAGATCGATGTAGTCTACCTGTAGTAATGTGTATGCTTTTTGTCTTTTTGAACTCTTTTTCATGCCAAAATGTCAGAATCTGTGTAATTTTCCTCCGCAAAGTTATGAACTTATTTTACATCAAGAAAAGTGTTTTTTTTTGCATTTTTTAGATAGCTTCTCCCAATTTGCTGCCATACATGAGAAGTGATTAAAAGTGTACCCTCTGTGGTGTATTGGGGAAACATGATTCTACATTTGGACGCAGTCTGAGATATAATTACAGTTGAATCTGGAAAACTTGAGCCTCCTTAAGATTTTTTTTTTTATTAAGTCCCCTTTCGAATTGCTTTAGAAACAATGCATTAAAAACCTCCCTGACTCAAAGGCTTCCCCTCTCAAACCTCCATAACTTGAATTTTCCGGAGTCCTTGTGGCTATTATTTTCTTGACATCGGAAAGAAAGAATCAATAAAAATGTACTTCACTTTATGTGTTTTGACAGTAATAATTGATTGGAAAATTGGGCCAATGAACCCCTGCCTCCCAGTTCAGCATCCTGTGAACTCATTTAAGAATGAAGGCCCAGAATATCACCATTTACAATTTCTTGAAATTCTTCTATGTTTTTGACAACAAAAATGCTTATTCCACAAACTCCAAACCTCTTCACCAACTGAGAACCTCCCCAAGTAGATTTTTTTTTTAATTTGACTTGGTGAGGTTCGACTGTACATCCGCAACTCAGTGCCCTATTGTGCATGTGTAGATGTGGAAGTTGGCAAACATTTTTCTTTTCTTTTTTCCTACCAACACACTGACGAAACTTGTTCGACTAGTTCAGTAGGTGCATGTGGTGGAAGTTTTGTTCAGTCCCCATATTCAATGGAAAAAGTAATTTCGAACTGCACTTGCTGATGTATGACTCTTGAATTGGAGTGAAGAGGTCCATTGATTCTGACTGTCAGCACTGGGCGGCGAGGAGCACACCTAAACGGCCTGTTTGGAAGGAGGGGGAGGGTAATTTCTGATCAGCCCGGCCATGCTTGGATCCATTTCCGGTTTCAACTTGCCTATTGATCCGCTTGCGAGAGGGTTGGGGTTTTCCTTATATACTCTACTGTATTTTACAGTATATATATATACGGATGTTTTTTTGCCCATGTCTGGGTCTCCCCCTCAGCCTCTGCGGGGCAGGAAATTGCGTGGTGTCATTCGGGGGCTGGAAATTACACGGGTGTCTGTTCTGAGTCAGCTTCGGCGGTGGGAAAAAAAGCTTTTGTTTTTATTTTTTCCCCCGGCTTCCCGTCCAGCGTTGCCGCTTGGATTTCCTCCCGTCTGGTGCTGAATAACGGACACGAGGAAATGTCCGGAGTTGGTAATCCTACCAAACGCGACAAGCACACGTAGGCACGCGAACCGGCTGGCTGACTCGTGACTCACCGTCTCGTTTCTTTCCCTCCCTCCCCCCCCCCCCCCTCTCGATTGTGCTTTTTTATATGCGTTTTTCTCAATTCCCTCGAGTTTTGTTTTTCTCTTTCGTTCGCTCTTTGCTGCTCTTCCTCCTCGCTCCCATTTTCTCGTGTGCGTGGCCCCCCTCCTCCCCCCCCCCCTCGATGTGCTAGTATAGTTTTGATTCTGGGGCGTTCGCATTTTCCACGCCCTCTGAATCTCCTCTTGCGGACGATTCCATTTTTTTAATGGATCGTTTTATCTCATGAGACGTTTTTGGCGGGGGGGGGGGGGGATGTGTGATTAGCTGATGACGCCTGTGTTTCAGGCTTCGATGTACAGTACGCAACCAGCACGGGCTGCATTTAGCTGCAGTTGATCGGGTTATGTGTGATTGTGTGGTGGAGCGCGAGGTAGAAGGGGGCCATTGTTGGTTGGTTGGTTGGTTGGATACATACGTGCTGATGAGGCCTGGTCGAGGGGTTTTGTTTTTTTTTGTTGTTTGATTTGGTGGTTTTTGTTTGCGTGATGTTGTAGACTTCACAACTTTCTTTTCTCGCGATTGATGCATATTGGCAGGCAAGCGGAGATGAGATGTACGTGTACAGTTTTGTGTCTCATGGGACAAACGTAATTGATGCAAGTGCTATGTTCTTTGTAGGAAATTGTTCTTTATACGAATCACGTGTATTTAATGAACAGTTTTTCTCATTTATGTAACGAACAAATCTGTTCTCGATATGAATTTTATTCGTAGTATGAAGCCAAAAAAAGTCACTAAGATCGCTTGTTCTGCACAATGTTCTTAGTGCAAGATTTTTATACTATGAGGTACGGATGTGTTATTGTCTCCGCAATTAAGGTGATAATTATGAGCCCGTACACCATGAAATATTGAACAGCGTAATTACTTCGAAAGAATCTGGTTACAACGAATCATGTTACAGGTGAAATCTGTCTACAATAAAATATAGAAGAACGGGGAAAAAAAAACTTGTTGCAGAGAATTCCGTTGTACAGAAACGCCTATAAGCCTTCAGCATGGGCAGAGAACTTCATGGGACCACAAAAATTTGTAATGCAGATGAATCCTTCGTAGAGAGTCTCTACCTGTGCAACACATTAATGGTTGCAACGAATTTTTTGTTCCTTGTCCAATAGGCACTTCGCTATTTTAATTTTGTTTCAATGAATTTTTGTTCATGACGGAAGCTTTTTTCAAGGTCCCAAACGTTTTGTCATAACCAAATTACGATGTAGTGTCATGCACCCTTGAGTAGGGCACACACCAGGGTTTTTCTGTAAAACATTTTGGTAAAATTGTATCCTTGAGTAAGACTTTCACCCCATTTTTTGAGACTAAGACTGCAATATTTAAAAAATAAAAACACCCAAAGTTAAATTTAGAGACGAAGTGAACCTGAATTCAGCTAATTTTCAATTTTTAATGCACCATTAAATTAAGTTTTTTCTTTTGAACTTGGTCCAAAATTTCGCGTTGGAATCAAGCGCAGTATGAGTCACACTTGAACTTCAAGCACTTTTTTTTTCTCTCACCCACCCGTGAGAAGCACCCCTGTACATTATCCTCATTCTGAATTTGAAAGAAAAATGTATTTGCCTGTGGTGCTTGAGTGAATATCTTACTTGCAAGGTCTCCGTGCAGTTCTTACTAGGACCCCGAGTACCCATGAGACAAGATCTTGCGTTTGACATAGAATCGGTTAGAAGGACACTTCCCATATGAGGCAATACTCGGATGTGCATTCCAAGAATTTTGGACGTGTTCGGGGACGTTTCTGAGTTATTGTAATTGTCTTTTTTCTGATGGGTCATTTCTCTCGTATTTTGACTTACGAAATACTAGTACTGTGCGAGATATTTTGTAAAAATATCAAGAAATGGTCAGGTTGAGGATTCGCCTGAAAACCGCGAGTTCCCTTATCCTCAATTTCCACCACTTCTGACTCATAGTTCTGAAGGTTGGAAAGAAATTACGCCGGTCACGGGTTCGAAACTGTTCCGAAGTTTTACTCAGCAGACTGGTTGATGACCAAGACCTGATTTGGGAGATGCAGTGAAGTGCAATGCATGATTACTCGGCTTATACTGTACTGTATAAACTTGAGCTTGTGTCCCTTCAAAAAAAAAAATAGGTACTGATTTGGTGCCTGTATTGGGCTTGGGATATAGTTCCGATGTTCAGACGAGTGTTCCAACGCTGTTGTCTTGTGGACAACACTTTGTTTTCATGCACTCGTTTCAGATGGCGTCAGTTTTCAGCTTAGTACACAGATCATGGAGAAAATATTTCTTTATATTTGCATTCCTCTGATCTAACAACTAAAATGTCAGTCTACCGAATGATGCTGTCTGTGGAGCAACCTGTGCTTTAAAATGTACTAAATGCACCATTACCCAGGCTGGTGAAACAAACAAATCAGGGAGGATCATCTGTGTGGTTTATTTGCAAGCCTAGAAACGATTTTGTTATCTAAAAAAAAAAGCTTTCCTGAAAACGAGTTCACGTCCGTCGGTGTAAAATTTGGATTGAAAAACGGAGTTTAAAGCGAAGTAAAAAAAAAATTTTCGTTGGCATTCGTCAGATACTTACGCGAATAAGTCCGTGCGTGTTAAAACGATGCTTTTTAAAGATAGGACCAGTATAAAGAATGTGGACTATTTTTATTTTTCCTCAGCTTGGTCAACCCAAAATTGGGAACCAAGTGTGATAATGCTTTTTGGATATTTTCCACTTTTTAATGTTCGATTTACTTTTTCCATCATCGTTTGATTCGTTTATGTTCCCCAACCCGTGGTCCGCAGAAGTTTTTTGCGGGTCCGTAGGAAATTTTCTCAAGCATAATAAATTTATGAATGAATGAACAGAACACTTTATTTGCTGCTTCTCAGCGTTCACAAGGTTCAGTCAAGATTTCCACAACCACACCCCCTTCCCACCCAACCCAAATCCACTCAATGACATTTAATCACTTCAGAGCAGGAAAGCACAAATTGATAACAAAAATAAATGAAAATACAATACAACACGAAATACAACTTGACATCTTATATGCATGCATACCTTCATTCCCTGACATTCGTAACAAAATATATGTAAAAATTTATTTAAAGCACAAGGTCTTCAGCTTGTTTCTGTATGAGGTTTAGCTGAATGAACAAATTAGAGAAAATCTTTGACGAGAAATCATGTAAAGCCAATATAATCATAATATATCTTGATATAATCATAATTATATCAAGTCTTGATATAATCTTGATTATGTCCAACACGGACCAGAAAAGCTTCGACAGCTAAAAAACTAATAAAGCCTTTTTTTTAAATAAGAAATGATCTAATTTATAATGTACATGATCTAAATTGAAGGACAGTATGTCTAACAAGGACTATAGCAAAGCTTCGGCAGCTAAAAATCCGAGAAGCATCACCAGGTTTCATTATTTTGTTTTTAGTCTTTTTTTGACACATTACACGAGGATTTTAATTTTAGCACATTTTTCATGCCTCTCGATCTGATAAAACGTCAGAGTTCCAGTACAGTACTGCCGATTGGCACTTTCTCTTCGCACAAAAGCGAAATTTACATTCCTGAAGCTTCAATTCCACTTGGAAACCATTGATGGTTTATTCCTACTATCAAAAGCATCCATGAAGAAATGCTGAGGGAGAATAAATCGCGTGGCTCGGAAATCCCGCGAGAGACATAATCCCAAAGTGCAAAAATCCCTCAGGTTAAAATCT